CTGTGTTCATCCAGCTCAACGCCTTGTTGTCTATTAAAAACAGTAAGCACTGCTCAAAAAATAAAAATCTCAAAGAGGTTATGTACTTTAAAAACAATCCCTTTAGTCCTTGTGGATTCAGGTTTAATTGATGCAGTGCATCCAAGGCAAATAGAATAGAATTTGTACTTTTGAAGACAAATGACAAAGATCAGAGTCCCCACAAAAATGTTAAGCAAATACATCATAGTTTGAAGTTGCTATGGCCAAATCGATTGCAAATGAGAATTTTAAATTAAATGCGAACAGCATTTGTGGCATAAAACAACAAAGCTGCAAGTAGGCTGTACTCTCAGCATTCCTCTAAGTACGAACGTGGCACACACATTGACTGCATTGTGCTAAAGGACAGATCTTTAAAAATGTCCAAAACTCAGACTCGGAATGATGGTCGCAGGAAACGTTACTTGAGCGCATATTTGTGCCCACTTTGCTCAGCTGTACAAGTAAATGTGGTTGAAGGTCAACTGGATATAGTTTTGGGCCCTGGTGCAGCCAATCAAGGAAAAAAAAATCAGCAGTTCTGAATTGATTTTTGGACATAATTCTGTTAAGAAAGTTTTTTCCATTTTGGCAATCCAGTTTTCTGTAATGCAGTACTACAAACCTTCATCACCTTGGAAAGAGATAAAGATCACTTCTGTGCTCTAAATACTTAAAAATGTATACAAACTGACTAGAATTAAAGAGGGTATTTTTCATTTCTCCACCCTCCATAAAAGGCAGCAAATAAACAGAATTTCTGCAGTGCAATTCTCTTTTTGCTTCTGATTTTAAGATAAGGTTATAAAACGCAAGAGCAAAATTAGACCATATGGCCCAGAGTCTGCTCTGCTATTTAATGAGGTCATTGCTGACCTGACAATTCTCAACTCCAGGGCTCACGAATTACAAAAAGGAAATATTGCTTATGGAAGCAGACAAATACGGTTATCATGATCTTGCTATGTTGTAATGTGACAAGTTACTTGATACATTTTAGTGGTGATGAGCTGGTTAGAGCGGCTCCCTTTTGACTCATCACAGGATCAATCATGTCCATCTGAATAGGTCAGACAAGATCCTTGTTTAAACACCTTATTTATTGGAAAAACTCAAGACAATTTCTTCAATACTGTATAAAAAGATAAATTAGCTCATACTAGCAAGTCCTAAATCAAATGAACTCATGTTACTAGAATCAAAACTGAAAGTGAAGATTTGATCAATTTAAAAAGTGCTAAAAGATAGCTCACAATTAAGTGGCTACACATGTCAATTTTGGGAAAGAGTGAAAACTCACTGCACTAAACATGATAGCTCAACTGAATCAATCAAGCCTGATGCAAAAACATCACAATGCTTGCAATTACAAGGTTCAGAAGTACCAAATTAGATGGTTAGGGATGGGTTTAAAGGAGGACAGTCAATTGCTTTATTGATAAGTGTATATTTTCTTTCAGTCAAAAATAGCTCAAAATGTTTACTTGGAAGTCACAAAAAGGTGTTGGAAATAATTTATACCACTCAGCACTAAACTGTCAAGTCCAATTTAGAGTTAAATTCCTTCCAGAAGTGCTTTCAAATTTCAACTGACACCCCAAAACACCATCTGCTTGGATTGGATCTTGACAATTTCTTCACTGTTGAAGAATGTGGACATTTGAATGATATATATACACTAATTGGTCAAGTTGTCTATGCAGGACTTTGAAAGATGCAACCAAAAGAGACTCCTACATTATTTAAAGAGTAATTTTACATTAGTACACCACACATTTCCACATTTAAGTGTATAAATGAATAAAAGTCCATTTTACCTTAGCTTGGAACCCTGATTCATTTGCTGCTTCTTTCCAGCCATTTTCCTAATAAAATTAAGCAGTAAACAGTAAAAAACCAGCTTCTCATGCAGTATTCCAGCAAGTCATTCAAAACTAGTCATTTACATACGTGCTGATAGCTACCAACTGGCTCAGTATATTCAAACACTGAATTTTTATTTAGTGGAGTTGTAGAATGACTTTGCAAGCTTATGACTATATAATATTGCAGCCGTTTGTTTGGCCCACTTTTCTTTAAAAATTGTACTGCTTGCAATTCACAAATCATGTAATTGAAGTAATTTTTGATCTTGCATAAATGGAAAGATATCCAATAACATTTATCTTTCGGGTTTATTAAGGCTCTCAGATTGAACGAGAGAAAGCTAAAATGAAAGGAAGAGAACTGGGTTGCTAGGATGTTACGGCAGCATAACGATTTAGATTACCTCAGAGTGGGGATACTATAATGAAGCACCATTTGGTAACAGCGCACACGGTCACATGTTTGTACCAACACATTTATAGTTTGGATTCTGAGGTTCATTGCTAAGGGTGGCTTTTTCAACCATGAGGAACAGTCCAGCAAAATGCATCAAGACATCAAATCACAGACGCCATTCTCTCAGGGACTGATCAAAATAGGAAAAACATGGAAGTGGCTTTGAACCAGCATACAAAATAAACTTTCATTGTTCCAGCAGCAAAGGACTTCTAGAGCTTTCCAGCAGCAAATTGAGAAAGGGTGCAGCAGAATCCGTAAGATATATTTTAGGCAGTTTGTGGAGGCAAAAATATTGATGACCAACTAGCCGTTACCTGTTCAAACTTTGTAACTCATGCGTGCACATATGGGAGGGGATGCTCACATGTGCATGAAAGGGGAAGTCATAACAAAGAAAAAAAAAAAACCCTGGCAGCAACACGGAATTGTTCATATCCAAAGAAGTCAGCTGACCAAAAAGAAAGTTTTGACCCCAAAGCCTGTAGCTCGAATTAATTGTAGTGACGACTTGTCAATGTTGAAAGGAAGCACTGTCATTCGGTCAGATGTACAGCATGGAAACAGCCCCTTCAGTCCAACTCATCCATGCCAACCAGATATCCTAGACAAATCTAGTCCCATTTGCCAGCACTTAGCCCATAGCCCTCTAAACCCTTCCTATTCATATACCCATCCAGGGGCCTTTTAAATGTTGTAATTGTACCAGCCTCCACCACTTCATCTGGCAGCATATTCCATACACACCTCTGCATGAATAAGTTGTCCCTGTGGTCCCTTTTAAATCTTTCCCCTCTCACCTTAAACCTACACCCTCTAGTTTTGGGCTCATCCACCCCGGAAAAAAAAAAAGATCTTGTCGTCTATTTACCCTATCCATGCCCCTCATGATTTTATAACCCTCTGTAAGGTCACCCTGCAGCCTCTAATGCTCCAAGGAAAATAACCCCAGCTTATTCAGACTCACCTTAGAATACAAACCCTCCAACCCTGGCAACATTCTTACAAATCTTTTCTGAACCCTTTCAAGTTACACAACATCTTTTCTATAGCAGGGAGACCAGAATTGCATGCAGTATTCCAAAAGTAGCCTAACCAATGTCCTGTACAGTCACAGCATGACCTCCCAAGGGGACATGAGATTACCTTGGCAAATAGGGTTAAAGGATAATCCAATTGGATTTTGTAGATATTAAGGACAAAAAAGGGTTACTAGGGAGAGAATAGGGCCCCTTAAAGATCTGCAGGGCAACCTATCTGTGGAACAGCAGGGGATGGGAGGGATATTGAACAAGTATTTTGGATCAGTGTTTACTGTGGAGAAGAAGATGGAAGATATTAAACATGGGGCAATAGATGGCAATATCTTGAAAAATGTCCATATTACAGTGATAGTGGTGCTGGACATCTTAAGAATGCCTGAAGGTGGAGAAATCCCCAAGACCTGATCAGGTGTACCCTAGAACTCTGTGGGAAGCTATTGCTGGTCCCCTTGCCGTGATATGATTGTCAATAGCCACAGGCGAAGTGCCAGAAGACTGGGGTTGGCTGAAGTAGTGCCAATGTTTAAGAAAGGTGATAAGGAAAAGCCAGGGAACTATAGACCCTTGAGCCTGACATCGGTGGTGGGCAAGTTGTTGGAGGGAATCTTGAGGAAAAGGATTTACATGTATCTGGAAAAGCAAGGACTGATTAGGGATTGTCAACATGGCTGTGTGTGCGGGAAGTCTTGATTGCGTTTTCTGAAGTAGTAACGAAGAGGATTGATGAGGGCAGAGCACTGGACGCGATCTATATGGACTTCACTGCGTTCACTAAAATTAGAAATCGTCTTAAGAGCTGCATAGGAACATGGAAAAAGGACTTGGTCTTTGCTCAACAATAAATATTTTCTTACATTTAGCTTGCAGATGTCACAAAGTCAGATTTTTAAAAATACAGCTTTCCTTTCTCACTTTTCTGCAGCCATACTCATCACATGAACCATGCCAAAGCCATCCATTCATGTTTAGCAACAAAAATACTAAAATTGCAGAGTTAACAAGACAAGTGAAACTTCCAATACCTGTGTTAAAAATAAATAGAAAATTGGATCACAAGAGAGAGTAGGATGTGAAGCAACACGCAACAGAAAGTTTTCAAGACCAATCCTTCGTCGTTCAACAAAATCAGGATCCATGTTATCAGCAGATAATTTATGCCAAACAAATTCTGCCTGCAGGTATGAATAGAAGGCAGGTTACTCATGTAGCACTTTTTATTCAATAATGTTGCAACTACTTTTAGTTAAGTGTTTGGTGATTTCTCTGGGGTAAGGCAGGCTGCATGTGTTTAAAAAAAAAAAAAAAAGGCTTCAGGAATTCAAATCTTACAGGCAGGATTACCAGATATTCAAGGCAGGCTGAGCAAGTCCAACATGGTGGACTGATATACAATACTCCAAAAAAATGAGGTATTCAATGAGTGTACAGTTTTCTACATATGTTAATTGGTTTTCCTCATTTGAGATTTACCCTGGAAATCTACAGTCAAATCCAAAGAATAGATATCCAGTGCTCTTTCCTCTAAGGACTGCTTTAAGAATGACTCCATTATATTGGAATTTCAATCTAGTTCATACTAAAATCTACATTAATAAGAAGTCTGAATTGGTGAGAAAAGCTTTCAGCAATGTTCTTTGTTAAAACAACTGCAATCTATGGCAATGCACCTGATCTCCTTCAGCATTCTCAATAGATCTCTGCCTCTCTAGAAGCGAGATGGACTGATACACCACCTTATTTGGGAAAGTCAGGTAGAGAGGCAAAAATGGTTATGGATACTTTGTTCAGCAGAAGCCTTGCATATCCTCATGCACTGTGCAGGATATCAAAAGGCAGACTTTTATTTTGAAGGACTTCTTACATTATTTGATTATTGCATTGACAATTACTGAATTTGTCTTGCATTTGGGGATATAGGTGGTGCCAAAATGAAAACTACTCACTCTTTTTTCAGGTAGAGGTGGTACTACTATACAAGGATACGTAACAACTAAATAATTTCTCAACAATTCAAATTCACTGTATCGTCTCCAGAGTGAATCTGGCACAGAACTCTCCTCTTCATTTTGTGAATCATGTGACCTATACACAAAAAAAAATTAAACAGAAAAGTCAGATCGCTAACTTCTTGGTTAAATTAATAAATTCTATTTCTTCCAGCACCCCACCACCCCCCAACCGTGTAACAGGTAAAGTTTATTCTCATGTTTCAAAGTTAATTATCAGAGACATTTCAAACAGGTTAAGAGTATAAAACATGTAACCAAATATGCCTATTGTTTAACATCAATCTTTAAGTGGACAACATCCTATACTTTCCCATTCATCCAGGGGAAAGAAATAATTTCACACCAACGTTAAAGTGAATTTAAGTGAACCAGTGCATACGTATGCTATGAACTCAAAGGGAAAAAAGACTTGCTAAAATGTCCTTCAGTAGTTTCTAGACACTAAAATCAGACTGGTACAGAGCTGATCTGCTAGAAAACACTTTTCAGTGGTACATCACTTGAAATTAAAAATTTTTAATAAATCAACTATTTCAGTTGTAATGCTCAATATCCAAATCTTGAATTCACATTAAAGAGGACGTGGCTGAAGTGGAGGGGATGCAGAGGGGAGTCACCAGGATGTTGCCTGTGATGAAAAGTCAGCTATGAGGAGATACTGGATAGGCTGGGTTTGTTTCCTTAGAGCAGAGGAAGCTGAGGAGCAGGATCTGATTGAGGTATACAAAATTATGACATGCATAAACAAAAACAGATTGTGAGAACGTGTTCCCCATGGCAGATGTGTCTAAGACCAGATGGCATAAAGTTTAAGGTGACAGGAAAGGGAGTCAGATGGTAGTAGAAATTTGAAACATGCTGATGGAAGCAGCTACTCATGTAACATTTAAGCAGCATCTGGGTGCGTACTTAATGCCAGGGCATAGTAGATTATGGATCAAATGTACGTAAGTGGGATTAGTGAAACCTGGTATTTGTTGGTCACCACAGACAGGATGGGTTAAAAAGGGCCTGCTTCTATACTGTAGGGCTATGAAAAGATTAACTGTCAAAATATTTTCAATAACAGCAGTTGACAAACTATTCGATGTGGACATTTCTTTTTAAATAATTGATCTTCAACAGGTTTGATGACAATCATGTTCAAAATTTACTTCTATTTCCCAGTTTTTGGAACATTCATTCAATGGATAAATTCTTAAGGTAGGACTAAAGATCATTTAACAGATTTTAGTTTCATACACCACAGTAAAAGCAGCTGTAATTCTGAGATGACAAAGTGTGGAGCTGGAGGAACACAGCAGGCCAGGCAGCATCAGAGGAGCAGGAAAGCTGACGTTTTGGGTGGGGACCATTCTTCAGAAGAAAATAAGTGTAAAAATGTAATCCTGATCTGTCTTTTCCAGTCCCTTATTGAAATACTTGACAGTGATTCGCAAACAACTGCCAAGAGAACACAAGAATAAGTTATAAAGCTGCCCCTCCAAGTATAAGTGAATAATACAGATAAATTCTTAGGTGCATAGGCCAGATGTACTTTAAAAGGAACTCTATACCTCTAGCATTTGAGATCATATCCACATGTATTGCACACATCTATTTAATGCAAAATAGATTGACTCCATCAAACAACACATCTGGACACACCAGTGGTTATTAAATATTTATTAAGTCAACCACTTTTCATAACCTTGCACTGAACTTTGCACCAGTTCAGTGCAGAAATAAAAGTAAGTTGGTAACTAAGCAAGGATTTATTTCCAAATTTCAGTAAATGAACATAAGTAAATTGGGGCCTCTTGCAAATAAGAACACTTACACAAATCTTCAGTTTCTGTAGCAATACTGTGAAGTGACAAATGCACAGGAAATTAAAGCATTGTAAAATGATAACTCTTGAAATATTGTCATTTTATACCAATATTTTTCCAGCTTGGTGCCACAAGGGGAGAGAAGGTAGGACAAAAGTCAAATTGCTGCAATGAGAGGGGAAATGTGGCACATGTCTGTAAGTATATACGGCTACCATATTCCTAGGAGACGTTGGAAAATGTGGTGAATTAAATTAATTTAACAGCTGAACATTAAATACGTACAACAGGAAATGAATCAGACATTATTCTCAGAGCTGGTTAGCATTTCATTTTGAAATCAAATCAAGAGGCAATAGGAAACGTGACAAAAGCATGCAAAAATGTTTTGGGTAATTGTGCATGAAACACAAAGCTCACAAACAGGTGCAGCAAGTAATCAGGAAGGCCAATGGAATGTTGGCCCTTATTTCAAGGGGTTTGAGTATAAAACAGTGAGAAAGTCTCATTGCAACTGTACAAAATACGGATGAGACTACATCTGGAGTACTGTGAGCAGTTTTGGTCCCCTTAAGGAAAGATATTTCCTTGGAACAAATTCAGAGAAGGCTCACTAGTATGATCCTTGGTATTCAGTCTAATGAGCAAAAGTGTTCAATACGGTGGGACTTCACTCACTGGAGTTTATAAGAATGAGAGGTGATCTCATTGAAATATATAGGATTGTTCAGAAGCTCAACAGGATAAATGTGGAGAAGATGTTTCCCCTCATGGGAGAGTCTAGGACCAGAGGGCATAATCTCAGAATAAAAGGGGCACCAATTTAAGACTCCAATGAGGTGGAATTTCTTCTAAGGATCAAATGTCTTTGGAACACCATGCAACAGAGAGCTCTGGGGGCAGAATCTGTGTGTGTATTTAAAGCCAAGATGGCTAGATTCTTGATCAGAAGGGGAAATCAAGGACTATGGGAAGAGGGCAGGAAATGGAGGTGAGGAATGTCAAATCAGCCATGATCCTACTGAATGGCAGAACAGGCTCAAGGGACTGAATGTTGTTCTTATTTCTTATCTAAAGTTGTAAGACCATCTTTTAAACTCAACTCTCTTTAAATTAGACCTTGCTCATGACTGGACAATATTATGCTATTTGCCAAATGGTTTACTGTTAGCTAATCATCCAAATGACAGTTACAGCATAACTACCAGTCAAATGCTTTTACTGTATTCTACTAGTCATTTTTGCCATCAGTTCTAGAAACCACACAGCATAGAAACAATTCATGATTTGTGAAGACATTTTAGAAAAGTTTTGGGAGAAGTGGGGTTTAATCCATGAATAAAGAAAACAAAGCAACACATTGGCTCATGTCAGTTATTTTCAAAATTCCATTGGAAGAAAGATATAGAACGACAGGAAAAGAATACCACAAAATGTGAGGACCAAAATAAAAAAAATACAGGGAGGAGATGGCCAAGACTAGTCTATTGTTAAACTATTAACCCAAAGACTCAGGTAATGTCCGGGGAACCTAGGTCCCAATCCCATCTTGGCAGATGGTGGAATCTGAAAAATCAGAAAAAAAAAAGCTGGAATTAAATAGCTTAATGATAAACCACGAAACCACTGTCAAATTGTTCAAAAAAAAAAAGTAATAGTAATAATTCTGGCTCACTAATGTCCATTAGGGAACAAAACTGCCTTCCTTACCTCACCTGGCCTGCATGTGACTCCAAACCCACAGCACTGTGGTCAACTCTTAACTGTCCTTGGGCAATTAGGGAGGACAATAAATGCTGGCCTAGCCAGTAACGTCCAGATCCCATGTACAAAAAAAGTTCCTATTTGCAATCCCTTCCTTCCAATTGATTAAGAGAAACTCTAGTCAATTCAGGAGACTTCTGTACAAGTAAAAGTGGTGAACAAGAAAACCAGAGTTACAGCCAAACAAATGAAAGCAAAAAAGTTAGAAGACTCTCCTCTTCCCCCGCCCATCCTGTATAGGAGTATCCAAGTAACTATTAAAGACAGGAACTACTTCAGATGAAAATAGACATCAACATAAAGACAGGCTATGGTGCAAGGCTATAGCAAAACAGATGATACATTAAAATAGATGAAAAGGAAAATAGGTCTGTTTATATGAACTCTATTTTAAAAAAAGGACTAGCACCAAAGAAGCAAGTTAAATAACTTCACATTCTGCAGTTGTGAATATTTTTTTCTCAACTTCAATTTTAATTCAATGGATGTAACCATTCAACATAGCTCATTTGCCCATATCAAATCACTTCCATAAATTTTTAAATCTAATTTTTTCTAAAAAAAAAAAAAAAATCACAGATTCGTCAAAAACTCTCAGCACCTCTGGATTTCCAAACACTTGGGTTTGGAAAAAGGAAATTGGTTCATGTCATGTTACAGGCTGAAAATACAAAGTCCAGTTTTTAAAATGTATATTAGCCTACTGCAGAAGCTAGATTTGCTTTAAAGGGTTCACATAACACTCAATCACTACGGATGCGAGCTACATTGATCTAGGAATAGGAATAGGAAAATTGGAAGTTAGGACTTCAGGAAAAAGCTCAGCAAAAAGTCAAGACATTTCGCCCTTGCTGTTTACTAAAATGCTTGGGAAACAGTACAGAATTAGAATTGAAGACATTTACTCACATGGTATAACACATCTTTAACATTATTCAAATTTATTAAAATCAATACAAAGAGATTCAACACGTAATTTTCCAAGACTTAAACCAAATATTGAAATCTTTTAGGTGTTTCCTCTCAAACTGCTTCTGTCCAGTCAATAAAAAAAAAAATTACAGTTGAATACAAAAGATTTTCCAACATCTAACATTCAAGAGTCCAATTCGTATGCCCAAAGCCTATTGTTCTTTGCCCAAAATTCATAAAACCTTAAAAATGATTATAAACAATGTCTATTTGAAATTATATTCTGCAAAATAATTTCAAAAAAAAAACTTAAATTTAGCCTCCTTCAGCATAAAATTAGCTTTCAGATGACTGTCAGTTAGATTAAGAATTAGTAAAAAGTTCATATTGCATTAACTACTAATATAGGCACAGGACCAGATAGTCAGTCATTGTAAGAGGGTAGAGTGCAGTTGCACATCAGCACTTGCTTGGGAAACTGAAGGGCTAAATTTTCTGAGGAGTGGCAAACATATGGCCACTGTGGCCCTACCCTTCAACAGAAAGGATGGAAGGGAGCTCTACATCTCAGGAAATTTCTTTGGAA